ACTTTCCCATCACTTAATTAAATCAAACCGTCTCGTCGCAATCCGATCGCCTGCGGACTAACCCCTGTTGGCACGGCCGTGGCACCGTGCCAACAGGGGTCCCACAACGAATCTCCGCAAAAGTTGGCAAATTGCCACGGACGGGCATATACATTTTGTTGCGTTCACAAAACGGCTTTAGAGGTTAGTTCGGGTAATGAGGAGCGAGGAGAGTGTAGAAGATCAGCACAGCAAGTAGCTAATCGTGACGGATACGCAACACGGCAGCATGACGTAGGAAGTAGACCAACGCCTTTTTCATGTGGAACTGAAAGAGGTTTGTCGTCAAGTACCTTCAGTAATCACAAGTACTGTGATTTGCCAGTTTCGGTGTTTGGCATGGGATGCTTGCTAATATGGAGAACTTAGGAGACAGTTACGCGTTCTTGTAAAGTTTTGCCAGTAAAGAAGAAGTTGCTTGATTGCATCGCTTGGAAAGCACAGAAGAGAAGGTCGTGCTGGTTGTATAGATGTTTCAGTGTGCTAATACCTCAAAATTCGGTAATCAAACCTTTCTCAATTAACTACAACAAATAGAAAGAGGAAAAATGAGTTACTCTTGGAGGCATCCGCTGTCCTTACATAGGCAAGCCGTCCTATCGTACCGTTCCCGCGCAAAGAGCACGTGTCCTAAAATGCGCGGGAAATCTCGCTATATAAGGGCAGGAATGTAAGACACTCTCACTCTCTACTATTGTACGCATATTGTACTATCGATTGTATATCTGCTCGTAATCTCTTCTGCTGGCACATATCTTCACCTACTCGAAGTGTATGTTTTTACCTTACTAATCATTAGATAAAGCCTGTTATCTAATTGTTGGTGTTTTGAAGGAAACTTGAGTTATTGTGGTCGCGTATTAGAAATCCGCGTGGTAGGCTTGAGTACTCGCGTAATAAAAACGAGACACCCTCAAATGGGTGCATCGACCAAAGCTGTCATCGTCCATGGTCCCGATGACCCCGACGCTGCCCGCGCCCCGCCCCATGTCTTCCTAAGAACAGGCCCATGCTCTGTAGCTTCTTGTTGGTAACACCGACAATAAATTACATTGATGAGCCATCAGATGTAGTTAACTATTGGGACGGACACGCCTCCCATCCAAACACTCACAGTGGAGATCTACCCTGTAGAACGAAGCTACTACCGGCATGGACCTATAGGGAGCCGAAGCCCACCACTCTCAATCAGCTCCGGTATCTTGAGAGACAAACAGCCATGGGAGCTTACCCTAAGTGCAAATTAGTGCTGTGGGTGCAACAAAGCTTTCCATGGTGGAATGCTGACGCCCATGATAGTTGGTAGAGCTGGTGGAGCTGGAGAGTGTTTGGCCTGTCTACCCTTCGAGGAGAGAGAATGAGCTGCGTACGAATGACCCGAGAAGTTGGAAGCTGCTTGTGGAAGGCAAAGAGGAGAATCATCACGTGTTGGAGGTTCGCTTCCCATGGAGGTTGAGTGGAGAGGCAACCGCCACCGGCTTCCCACATCGTCTAGCCTGGCGTTTTCTGCATTTGTTCACTCAAGCTGGGAGTGACTTGCCCGCCGGCACTCTTGCATGGTTTGAGCTTTACTGGCACACGGCTAACCAAGATCAAGGACTATATCAGCTTTTGTTCTTTACGCTTTCACCTTGGCTCAGTCCAAGGGCAGATATATTGTTGCACATCTACCTCACCTGGGACGTTCATACATTGACTTGTAGTCAACTACTTGAAGTTTTGAAGAAAATTCACGTGTGCCTCAAGAGGACTAACTATTACCCTGGGACCAAAGAGCAACTAAGTCCAGCAGACGTCGCTGCAGTAATGTACTTGCACTTTGCAGCTGGCCGAGGCTGGACTGCATCACAAGAGGAGGAGAGAGAGCATCGAACCGGTACTCCAATTCTCTTACTTGCATGGAGTGAGAGCAGGCAATGCGCTGATGAGGAGGCCTACACTGAAATAAATGACGACACAATACACAATTTATTCATGAAGATGGCCAACAGCGAACGATTCCATAAGATACCAACACTACGTGAGTACTTCAAAGCCGGACTAGAAGAGGCCCCGGATGGCAGCGCTGCGGGCAAATAGAGAGATGAGGAGTACCTAACTTCGACTGGCATGAAAGAGAAGAGAGCACAGTTTCTGGTGCGACGAATGACATATAACAACGGCCATTGTTGGTCTTGGAGTATAACACAAGGTGTGCGTCGTATACTGAGAGAAATCTGTGATGATTGCCGACGCCATGGCGGGCCATTGGGTGACAGACTACTTGGCTACGCGAAAAGAGCACTGTCGTGTCCAGGGGCCCTTGAGGGCATGCTGATAGGTGGGAATAGCGGAGAGCGTTATGAACTGCCGGAAGCGACATTGACCAAGATTCTGTCCATGGTGAAAAGAGCGAACTGGCCTGGTGAAACCCGTAGACTACAGATCGAGCAGCCGCTGCGGGACCTAGTCACTGCTATGAACTGGGAAAGGCACGTCAGAGAGCGCCAGAAGGCGCGAAAACTGCACTTGGATAAGCGACTCTGGTTGGAATTGCTGCGCTGGCGCGACGTGGATCGCGTGCTGAACTCAGAACCAAAACTAAAGGGATATGGTTTCCAGAAGAACGAGATAGCCGTTAGACGACAACTGCTAGCAGCTGACCCAGAGCATAGCTTTATCAGCCGCTATGTCCTGAGACAATTCGACACCTGCTATAGGGTTCACCCGTGGGGCGATTTAGGATACAACGCTTGTGAGGAGATCTCTCGGAGGTGCCTGCGAAGTCTGGTGATGGGTAGAAATACCAATATAGGCATTTGCGTCGGCGCTGATTTCAGAGATTTTAACGCATGTCATCGTCTGAGAGATATGGCGAACGACTACAGATTCATGGTGGAGGATTTTACCAATATGTGGTTTCGAAAAGGGAGCGATGCCTCAGCTGTGGAAGACTGGCAGAGATGCTGCCGCTGTCAAAAAAGGCAGCCCAGAATGGCTGGATGCAGCTTGAGGACAGCAAAAAGGAAGAGAAGGTTACCGTCGGTCTGTTCAGCGGTGTCCAGGACACTAATGGCACCAATGAGCGTAGGCATATTGTGGAGGTGGCCAGGGCATTCACAGAATTGGAGACCTGCGGTCTGCTCCCAATCAACTCAGGATCACGCATGCACATTGAACTGCGAGGCGATGACTCCATCATAATATCACCGAGCGCCCTGGATTCAGCTCTCTTGTTCACAGTATTTTGTGCAAGCGGCAGGCCTATGGAGGCAGTCCAACAGGAGACCTGGTCTGACAAATGCGAGTGTCTACGGAACAAAGTCACAGCCTTTGGTTGTCAGGGCTATTTGAACCGAAATGTTGGCACGTTGATATCAGCTCCTTTTGAGAACTCCAATCGTCACGACGTTGTAGGCAGGCTAGAGGCCATATGTCAGCAGATCGCAACTATCCATAGGAGAGGGGCCAATACTAGAAACTGCCGGGCGTTACAGCGGTTAATGGTGGCATACTGGGGCTGCTACAAATCAGACCCCGAACTTGAAGGCCCAAGTGGCAACCGCACGCTCACGCTACAAGTGGAGGTTTTGTGTGGAGCTAGAGGGGATGGCGGTTTAGACTGCAATCTCCTGGATGGCGGTTTAGACTGCAATCTCCTACCGGGCATTCAAATACGCCTGAGGAGCAAGCTTCCACCTGCACCCAGACTGAACCGCGCACCTACCCGAGTTACACGAGATACGGTGGCACGTGGTGCCGCAGATCTGGCTGGTCGATTAATCGGCACATTGGGTGATGTGATGGACTGTACGGAAATCCGCAGCACGCTAGCCTCTGAAATACACACACAAGTGACTGAGGGATCTGCTCTACCTGCCGAGCTGGCCGCTGCCCATCGGCAATATGAGGTGAAATTCGCCGACTGGGCTGCCGCACTTGACATTGAAGAATGTTGGCCTGCGTGGGAAATGAGATTCCTGACTATGGACTATGAGTGGCGAGACAACAATGAGTGCCGGTCGAATAGTTATTGGCTGGTTCCTCAGAAATCTTGGGCAACCTACTATCGTAGGTTCCGTATCCCCGAACGCCGAAATGGGTGGATACCTCAGGCCAACAATGTCTGGGTGACCTTCAAGAAGGAAGTATATTTGAACAAGCTGGCTAATGGCCAATCGGGAGCCAAGTTAGCTTTCGGGGTGGTCAACCCAGACGTATTTTCATTGGATGTGCGAAGCACGGATGGCTGGCGCTATTATGTCATTCATAGAGGCAGCACTCTAGGCCCAACTATGGTTTCTAGCCTGATGAATGCACTGGATATCATTGGAGAGTCACAGATGCTGCTGAAACTCCGCAGTCAGGCAGCACACGCATTGACCGAGTGGGCGGATTACATCAGCCCTCAGGTTCAGGCATGCTTAGATTTTCCGGAGCAAGCTCAGAACTTGCTGATTTGGGGAGACCCGATTGGAGATAGCTTGGCCAAATACCGCCGCACCATTGAACACCTAGCGGCCATAAATAAAGTGTCTGTCTTTGAGACATTGGAGGTGTGGTCGCTGGCAGCGGGGCGAAGAGCAGGAGAGCAAGCACACCATGCACTACGAACTGTGGATGACCCGAATGCGTGGCGAGCAATCTTTGAGGACAACAAGGTCTTAGTTCCTCTGAGTTGCGCCACTCTTGCCGGACCCCTATTGGGCAGCCTGGTCAGGAAATGCATGGGAGATTCCGTAATTCGTGCGGGCATCACCTTCGGGCTGCCAACAGCGGCTAAGGCACTTGAAGAGAGCGAGACAGCCTTCATTTTAGTATGTTATAAGCTAGCTAGATACCCGCTTTCCTTCTTGAACTTTTTCTGGTCACCTTTCATCAGCTGCGTAGTAATAATGGTCAAAAATCAGAGTAGGAATCAGAAGAAAAGTTCTTCTAAAGATTCATGCCTCGATGCTCCAGCTGATATGATTTCTGCAGAGCTGCCTCGTGGTCAGGAGCATCAGCTTGAGTTGGATAAAATATCTGCGACAGATCTTCTTAGAACTATCATTGAGCGTAGTGAGGACCCTCTCCTCAAACCTCTCCTCATTGATCTTTCGGATGAAATCCCGAGAGAATTCTCGGAGTCGATAAAGAGCGAAAAAAAGGCTAGGAGCATTGTTGTCTATGGTCTTGAGGAGGCAGGGCTGAGCTCCGACCATCTGAACGTCAAAAAGACCTGGAGAAGAAGGTCACTAAGGTTCTCGATGCGTTGAAGGTCGAATGCCACCCATGCGAGGTATATCGAATGGGTAAACCTGATCCAAAACGCCCCCGTCTTGTTAAGGTTGTCTTCCCAGCTTCTTCCCACTGGCCAACCGCCCTTGCCAATGCTCGTCTGCTCCGTAATGCTGGATTTTCTTCCGTGTTTATACGTAAAAGTATGACACTGGAGGAAAGACAGAGGGATTTTATGCTGAGGCAACTTGCTCGGGATCGCAACAAAGGATTGTCCAGCAAGGAATGGGTGGTATACAAGGATCAGCTCGTGCATATAAAAAGCCTTCCTAGAAACAGCTCGGAAAACCTTGCAGCTGGCACGGTTCTCTCACATTGAAATGCTGCTTAATTAATGCTCGTAGTCTAGTAAAGAAGAACTATCATCTTCATTCTTTCATTTCTCACGTTAAACCTGATATTTTGTTTATCACAGAAACCTGGTTAAAAAGTAAAGTTTTAAACTCTGAAATAACAATGAACCTTCCATATTTTCTCTATCGCATGGATCGGACAAGGGGTAAAGGTGGTGGAGTCTGTTGTCTGATAAAAGGAAGTCTTCAAGTTGACTTTGTCTGTAATATCAACCATGGCAAAGCTGAGGGCATTTGTTTAGACCTATTCTGTCCGGTCAAATCGTCCTATACTCGCGTTATAACGATTTACCGCCCACCCGATTCCAGTAGTGCTGATGATGAAACTCTGATCGATGCTTTGAGAGATCTTCTTTAGGTCCGCATCAATACTATTCTTCTTGGCGATTTTAACCTCCATGTTGACTGGAGCTTGCTTAGTGGGTTGAACTCAACCTTGCACCTCTCTTGCCCTCCCAGTCCCTGATTTTCAGAATGCAGACTTTGCTGGTCTCAATGACTTTTTCTTCCACACAGATTGGTGG